TGTTTTCTGACTGGTCGGCAGACCGCCGACCGGTCGGTCCTACTGGTCGGCTGCAAAACGGTCGGCGGTTGGGGTTGGCGGTTGGCAGTCTGCAACTCTGCCGCCCGGCCATTATAGCCGTATTTGGTGCACTTTTCAGTCTAGATACAGCTATAATGACCTGGCGTTCTATTCGGGTGAAGACGGTAGTACCTTTTCAGTGGAGTCTGGGTGTGAAATTAGTGGCAGATACGTGTACAAAAATCCTGGTGTGAGGGTAAAACTAATTCCTCCAAGAGGACAATTCTTACTATGGGATATTTTGACACACCCAAACATTCAGAGAAAGCTCAGAAAAAAACAGCTATACTTTGATCAAGCTTGCAGTGGTCATTGGCTAGTCACAACTTGACCGTCCAACCTGGTTTTGCCTGCTCTGTCGGTCTGCTTGGCAACTAAGAGGTGCTCACTGCACATCATGCATGGATTACTCATCGATTTACTCGTTCATGTATAAATACTAGATAGTAAATACACTTTTAAGTTTTACCATTTCAATTTGTCCTGGCTCTATTTTCTACTCTGTTGCTCAGCCATCCATCGCTTGTTGCCATTAGAGTTTGACTCAGTTTGTGAATTTGTACAACCTGATGATCTGGGTGCACACGTTGACTCATCTTACTGCTTTCTAATGCCTGATTGCCGTTCTGCAATTTTTCATTCTCATAGCAGTTTCAGCCTTTCAGGAAGAAAGCTGCCTCTCTACTCCCTCTGGCTGTTTGTCATGAGACCAAATACTATATCACTCGGGCCTCGTTGTGCCTTATTGAATATTTGGGGTTGCAGGTGAAATATGCTGTTTGTCCGTTGTGCTTTTCTTCTGTACCTTGTTTGCGCTTTGGAGCACTGCTTAACCGTCTTTGGACAAGGAATGACAGGTATTGGACGCGTAACTCATCTGTAGGCTTCTAAAAATGTGACACAGGCTCTAACCCATGAAACAGAGTATAAAGTTTGCCAGGCTACTGTTTTCACTGGAATAGAACGCCCGGTCATTATCGCTGCATCTGGACTGTAAAACGCCCCAAATACAGATATAATGACCGGGCGTTATATTGGGGTGAAGACGGTAGTTCAGGTCAAAATTTGCTAATGCAAGTACTGCTTCCTTTGACTGCGGTAGTTCTCCTGTCTGAGTGCTTTTTATTTCTCTGCTCTGTTTATTGCATGTGTTTTGCAGCCCAGGGAGTTGTTTCTTTCTTCCGCATGGAGCGCGCATATACAACAAACTTGTGGAATTCATCCGATCAGAGTACCGAAAACGCGGCTATGAGGAGGTGTGCATGTGGGCATGTGTGCTTTGTGTGTGTGTGTGTGTGTGTGTGTGTGTGTGTGTGTGTGTGTGTGTGTGTGTGTGTGTTTCCATACTGGCAAGCAAGGAGGGTGAGGGCATTAGGAACAAGAGGAGGATGGGCAGGACGAGGGGCTGAGCAAAAGGAGTAGGCGGGGGAATTTGAGATTGGGCAGAAGGATGTCGATGAGGATAACTTCTGGGTAGAAACAGGTGAGTGATGGTAAGTTGGAGGAGGACGAAGATTACAAGAAAGTGAAACAATGGGCAAAATGATGACGGGTGACATAAAAGCGAGAATAGGAGAAGATTGAGAACAGGAGGAGGTGATACTAGAGAGCGAGGTTGATGGGAGGATAACAGTTGAAGGATGATAAGAAGTAAGTGGAGAAGGAAAACTTGCGGCAATTTGAGGAGGATGAAGCTGAGAAGGCAGCATAGGACAGTGTAGAATGGTGAGGGGGAGGTGAAGCAGAGGAGGGTAAGAGGGAGTGGAGTAGCGGCAGGGAGTGGTGAAGGGTCGTAAGGAGCTAGAGGATGAGAAATGAGAGGAGAATGGGTGAAAGGGATTGCCATATTTTCCTGAACATGAGGCATATTGTGCGGTCTGTTTGTCTATAACACCTGCACTGTATTAGAAATTAGAACATTTGTATAGAGGCTGTTGTCTTGATGACTGCGCATGTGCTTTGTTAGAAGGGTTGAGTATCGACTTTTTTCTCGATGGCGAAGCTAGTTGGTCGGGGGTGCTTCCTTTTTGTTTCCGTTTCCCCAGTGGGGACCCAGGAAATCCATGCTTTCTTGTTGACGTCCCAGGCCCTGTGATATCATTGGAAAACTCCCATCTTAGAGCTTTGCACTGCTTACTGGGTTTCTACCAACTCACAGGAGTGCCATTTTCGATTGCTGGGGGGACAAGTCACGTTTTCTGTTGCTTCTCAGCCATCTCCAACTCTGAGTGACTGACAATTTGGTTTCTTCCTTGCGTGGTTGTTTCCGTGGGATAGGTTGTGACGCCAAATGTGTACAATATGAAGCTTTGGGAGACTTCAGGGCATGCTGCAAATTACAAGGAGAACATGTTTTGCTTTGAGGTCTGTATCCACATATGCATGCTTGTGTTTGTGTGTGTTATCGTGTTCCCTATACACCACTCCACAAAAAATGCATGACTGTGCTCTGTGTGTGTGTGTGTGTGTGTGTGTGTGTGTGTGTGTGTGCTGGTGTTGTTTTCTGGTTTGCTATGGTGCTTCAGTGGGTGGGTCGCTATTCAAGTCTCAAGAATGTTTTGCACTTGAACCATCCAGTTCTAGACAATCTCAGAAGCCCTGTGGTCAAGTGGGTATTTGTGCGAGGCATTGATTTGGACACTGCACAAACTTCTGAAGGGCTCTTTGAGGCTCAAGCAAAAGGGTGGGTGAGAACTGCAGTGTTTTCCTCTGGCCAGGATAGGGAAGGGCAAACACTGAAAAGAATGAAGGGGTGTGCGAGAACTGTGCTGTATTTCGCTGTGGCGAGGAGAGTGGAGTGCATCTGAAAACACGGAAAAGATCACAAATGTATGCCTCATTTGTGAGCCTTCTGGAATTTTGCAGGTTTTGTACAAACTGTCAAAGGACTCTTCTGACGTGTTTTTGTCTGGCCAAGAGAGGAAAGGACATGTGAAAACACTGAAAAGATAATGAATTGCATGGTTCTCAATCAAAAGGGTGACGGAGAACTGTACTGTGTTTTTCTCTGGCCAGGGGAGTGGGACGGACGTGAAAACACACTGCAGCGAATATGCACTTATGAAGGCATGTTTCATAATCGCTACCCAGGCGACCTCCAAAATCGTTTGGCTCCCCAGACAACAACCTTTTGTCAGGAGATGCGGTGGCATATCGGACAAGATTTCAGTACTGGGACTGCTACTGAAACAAGGTTCATCTGTTGGCTTAATGTATGACGGGATGCTGTTGCGGGGTTTCTTTTGGACAGTGTTTAGCTTGGAGTGGATTTCGGATTGCGAGGATCAACAGAATTAAACAAATGAATTAAAAATGATACTAAAACATTACAAATCCAGTAAACAATATAGAGGAGGAGAGCTTGGGACTATGCATCCAGCGCTGGGGAACTCGTGTGTATCTTATTATGGGACATGCGGCTGTATGGTTTGTAAATTGTGAACCGAAAGGATTGTTTTTCACATCTGGCTGTGGGTGTCCTTTTCTTTGTGGTACTTACTCTGTGTGGGTGGTTTTATCTGAGAGGGTGATTGGTCACATTGCCGCAGTCAGGAGGGGACCCCAATTAATGCGCTGCAAATCTATTGCGTGTGACAACTGAGTTAGAGTTTGGCAATTGATTCGAATCGCATCTGTTTTGGGTGGTGGGACTGCAGGTGGAGAAGCAGGAATTTGGGCTGAAACCAATGAACTGTCCTGGGCATTGTCTGATGTTTGACAGCACAGTGCGGTCGTATCGAGGTATGTTCCCCCCCCCCCTAGTTTGGACTGGTTCTTGATTTATGCATGTCATCCCTTGTGCAGGGGCCATGCTAATCTTCTCTTTCTCTGTATCGTTCCGATGTTAATGGATGTTCCGCAGGATGAGGTATGGACGTTTAATAATTTCTACATTGTTGTGCTCTCGCTTTTTGGCTCTGATGAGGTGTGGCTACCTTTGCCACCCGAATGCAACATATCTGTCGTATGGTCATTTTATAGCTGTATTTGGGGTGTCTTCCAGTCTAAATGCAGCAATAATTATTAATTACCATATGGCATATGTTGTATTCGGGTGAAGAAGGTAGTCTTCTGCTTGGTTGGTAGCACAGGGGTGGGAGATGGTACCTGCATGAACCAATGACTGACGGCGATAGAAGGGAAGGGTGAAAGTGAGGGCACAAACAAGCAACTCAAGAGTCTCAGCTAATCATCTGCCCAACCACAGCTCAGTTTCTCCAGGCTTGCATGCACATTTGATTCTCAAATGAGACCAAACGGAACACTTTTATGCGACACCACCCTACCTTCTTTCTCCGAATACAGCATACGGTCATTATAGCTGTATCTAGACTGAAAGATGCCTCAAATGCAGCTGTAATGACCGTATGTTGTATTCGGGGGAAGAAGGTAGATGCGTGAATTGATTCATGCAATGGTTAAACATACTGACAAGGACAGCGGCAGCTTTCTTTCAGGGGGCTACCCCCTAACGGTGCTGTACCCCACACGGTCCGAATCCTTGATCTGTTTTCAACTTTTCATCAATCGTTACATGTACATGGTACTACACACCATTCAGAAATCTCTTGTTCTGTTTATCAACCGCTACATCCACACGCCATTTGAAGTTCACGTCTGGTGCGTTTGAGTCACTACTCGTTGCACACCAGTTACTCAAGGAAGGCTTAGTAAGGGCATAATTACATAAGGGATCTGCTGAATGTATCTCACCCTAGATGCGGCCAAATGCAGTTCAGAAAGTCATAGAGTTTTCTGGCCAGATCCGTATGACAAGGAACCCGTTTCGGGCTTGGCATTCTCCTTGTGTGTGGAGAATAAGGACTGAGGCATTGGATTAACGAGATTCCCACTTTCCCTGTCTACCATCCTGCGAAACCACAGCCAAGGGAACGGGCTTCGAAGAATCGGCGGGGAAAAAAGACCCTGTTGAGCTTGACTCTAGTTCGACTCTGTGAAATGACTCGAGAGGTGTAGGGTGTAGAATAAGTGGGAGCTTTACGGCGCAAGTGAAATACCACTACTTTTAACGTTATAAAAAAAAAAAGGACCGAGGGCCTGAGGCATTGAAAGGCATGTTGAACAGGCCTGGCAGATGCGAACGAACGAGTTTAGTCAATTTGGATTCCTGACTAAAGAAATTGGAATGCTACTTGCAGGGCTTTTTTCCCGTTGCCTGACGTTTAACTTGATCTACGTTGATCAAACCAAGTTAAGTAGAGGCAATGATGCCGCTAATCTTAATACATATATATTTTTATTTAAGGCTTCTATGCATGCAAAGTCATTGTTGATATTCTCACGGACATAGATGAGCATTGTGCGTTGTAATTTGGTGCTGAGTGTTTTGTGGTGGCATTCTTCATTTTGGACAGTGGCGAACGCAGCCAAGCAGTAGCCTGTGCTTTGGTTCCGATCCGCCGGTTAACCTGCCTCGAAATCGCGGGTCAGGCCTACCGGACGTAAAATGCAGGCAGGGCCAGGCAAGTTGCACGCTCTGCTTGCAGGAATTGGAGTGCCGCAGAAATCTGCGGCAGGAAAAAGAGGCTCGGAGGTACTGGTGGGTGGTTTAACCACCAGTACCTTTCGCATTCTTAGGCCCCCTCCGACTCGAATGAATTTGGCCCTGGGCGGCAGGCCAATTCGTCCACCGCGTTAACGGCCTAAGAACGTGGAGGTACTGGTGGATTACGCCGGTCGAGGTATGGAAGCATGAGTGGCAAGTGGATGAGACAACCATCCTACAGTAGGGGTCACAGTGGTGGGCAAGGGAGATGTGAGTGTGTCAAACAGCGATCTGGAGGCGGCCTGCCATGGCTGCAGAGGACAACTGTGGCTGCTGACCACTGTCAGACTGCGGATTGCACTGTCAATTGAGTGACAGAAAATAAGAGATCACACTCTTGTTGCCAAGGGCTGAGGTTTATCATGAGCAGCATGGTGTGCACAACAGCTTCGTCATAAGACTACCGTCTTCCGCCAAATAGAACATACAGTCATGATCGTCGTATCTAGAGTTCGATTTGCCCAAATACAGCTATAAGGACTGGACATTGTACTCGGGGCAAGATGCTGGGGGAAGAGTGGTGTGGTTCAAGCAAATGATTTCTCTTGTTGGTATATGGGAGATTAGAGAAGTATACGCTGTAGCAGAAGTTTATGGTTACTGATGGATGACTATGCGGATTCATTCATCTGACTCAATCTGATGCCAAACTTGTGTTTGTGGCGCAGAGCTGCCTATCAGATTTGCAGACTTTGGAGTGTTGCACAGGAACGAGTTCAGCGGGGCACTCACGGGTCTGACCAGAGTGCGGCGGTTCCAACAGGTGAGTGTCCTTCAGGAGTTCCCTCTGTTTATCACCCTCCATATGTAGTTGCTTCTTTTTAAAACGTATCACACACCCCGGATCAAACAGCAAGCTCCTCTCTGCTAAACACATGGTCGCATTGTACATAGACATGACCATCTTGTAACAGCTTATCATCCCCTCATCCTGAAGGTAACATGTCCTCCAGGAGCTGCTTCTGTTTATCATCCTCTGTATGGAATCCCGTCTTTTTGGAACGTATTGTATAGCCCCCGATGACCAACCAAGTTCTGGAAGATATTGTCTCATCATGCACAGGCATTGCCACCTGGTAGCATCATATATTTCCCCCAAGCCAAGCTTCACAAGATCGCTAGCCTTTCGTTTGAAATCTATTATTCCCCCATAACCAAGCTTACACCAGATGACTACCGGTTTCACCCGAGTAGAACGCCCGTTCATTATGGCTGTATATGGGGCAACTTTCAGTCTAGATACAGCGATAATGACTTACGGGCTCTCTATTCGGGTGAAGATGGTAGCCTTTCTCTTGAAATCTTACATTGGGCTCTCCTTTGCAATAGCTCCACAGATCCTTCTCTCCTTTCTCTGACTATCGAGGGAAACTTGAGAGCCTGAAACCGGGTGCTCTCCATGGCTCTTGATCGATGCCATCTGGTGATCTGAAGTGTACCATGAAGCCTACATCGCCACAATATCTTTTAGTTCGTATAATCAACTTTAGACTGTCACTTTTTGTCCATAGGTCGAAAATGCCGACTCTAAAGGTAGAGCGCTCTCTCACTCCTGCGTCCTTACCAAGATAGGACTCTCAAGTGAACACTCCTTGCAGTAGGATGGTAGATAAGGTCAGATACAATGTACCTCATTAATGCTGCCCCCAACCACAGGTTTCTCACCAACTGCGATGATGTGCCGTTCATTGACTGGTCGAAGCAAGGAACCACCAACAATACAATGCAACTCCTCCGTTGCAATGGCACAATCACCTCACTCATAACACAGGTCTGGCGCACTTTGACACTGACGATGGCATTCCAATCCTTTGGTTTCTGAGGCATATCTGCAGTGCTGCGTGCTTTCCGCATTGGAATTTGCAAAATGAACAGCGAAAACTCGTCAATAATCTGTTCCTATGTTTTGTTCTGGATTGTCTTGATGTGCTTGTTTGCAGGATGATGCACACGTTTTCTGCACGGAGGATCAGGTAGGAGCTGCGGCTGTCTAGAATGTAACTATTTGTTTGCCATTCTTTCCTGCCAGATTTACAATTGCTATCCCGTTATGCATCTTTTTTGGGCTGGGATTTCATTTGCACTTGCTTTCCTCTGTCGCCGGGGAAAAAAAAAACAAAACATATTACGGAAATGATAGTAAATCAGGTTTCATATTTTTGTCCATTTTTGTTTTTTTATGCACCGCATCCTTGTCTACCCGGAACACCAAATCGTTTTGGCTGCAGGCACTGTGCTGTGGGGTGGATTCCTTCGCCGTGCTGGTGGTTGATTGTTCGATGTTCATCTCAAAGGCTGAAACTCAAATTTTGGGCCTTCTCACCCTTTCTCGTTTAACCTGTTTCAGAATTCTAGCAGTTGTGCCTCGTTGTTGGATGTGTTTCCATTCGGCGGTGAAAGTCTCGTTGATGCACTTAAAATAAACCTGCTCAAGTTTAACTCCAATCGCAACCATGCATCGCAACGAATTCCACACAGATCACTCTAACAAGGCAGCGACCTAGCAATCAGCTTGAAACTGAAATGATTGTTCCCAAAACCACAGTGTTGCCTGCTCATCAACCTCTCTCTGGTAAGTACTCTCTCTCTCTCTCTCTCTCTCTCTCTCTCTCTCTCTCTCTCTCTCTCTCTCTCTCTCTCTCTCTCTCTCNCTCTCTCTCTCTCTCTCTCTCTCTCTCTCTCTCTCTCTCTCTCTCTCTCTCTCTCTCTCTCTCTCTCGCTCTCGCTCTCTCTCTCTCGCGCGCGCGCACGTCACTCGCCCTCTCTCCTCTGTTGTATCTCTCAGTCTCCTCCCTTGTATCTATCACTCGCACTCGCTGAATACACTTGTGCCCCTCTCTTTCTCTCTCTCTCTCTCTCCCTCTCTCTCTCTCTCTCTCTCTCTCTTGCTACCCTCCTGAGTACGGCACTCCGGCCCCTGGGCCTGCCAAATCAACTACTTCCGTGGGACTGGGACCATTTGTACTTTGGGACCGGGATTCGGGACACTGACTGTGGTGTGAAATTCTTTCCCATCTCCTGACATGTGCCGAAGTTGTGTGAATGATATGTTTTGCGTGCTGGAGTTGTTTTCAGGCTGTTCGATACGGTAGGGCACATTTTGCAGAAGTTAGGTGTGGAACAAACAGAAGCGGCCTTGTGGTTCAAATGCACTTGACCGTGATAGTGGAAGTGTTCAAAACTGAAAAGAAGAAAAACAACTTTTCCTTTGTGCTTCGTCAGGGGAAGAGGTGTTAACAGGGGAGGAGGTTGAGGGTGTCTCGAGGGCGCTGCAGGTGAGGTCAAGGCGGGTTGGCGGTAGGGTCAAGGAGGATCTTAAGTTGGTGGGGTCGAGGGGAAGGGATATAGCGAAGGGGTCAACGAGGGGGGTGAGGGGAGGGTCAAAGGGTTAAAAAGGAGGGGGTAAGGAGGGGAGGTGGAAGGTTGTGGGGACGGTGGAGCGAGGAGGTTATTGGTAAATAGAGGGGTGGGGAGTGTCACGGAAGGGCGGGGTTTGAGGATGGAGTTTTCAAGTTGGGGGAGAGGGTGGGGGGTAAGGGGGTGATGAGAGAGAAAAGTTGGTCAAGGTGGTACAGATAGAAACAGCCTTGTTTTTGGAATGCACCAAGTGTTGGTCAGGGAGATTGAGATAGGGCAGCCCCCGCCCCTCTGTAGAAACAGCCTTGTTGTTGGAATGCACCTAGTGTTGGTCAAGCTGTTGAAGGGGGTGTGAGAGAGAAAACTTGGTCAAGGCGGAACAGATAGAAACAGCCTTGTGGTTGGAATGCACCTAGTGTTGGTCGAGGAGGTTGAGATGGGGCAGCCGTGGAACAATCAGAAACAGCCTTGTGGTTGGAACGGACATGACTGCTATCATGGAAGTGTTCAAAACAGAAAAGCAAAGGAAACAAACTTTTCCTTTGTGCTTTGGCAGGGGAAGGGGTGTCAGCGAGGGGCGGGGTTGACGGGGTTTTGAGGGTGTTGTTGGTGAGGTCAAGGTGGCTTGTGGTACGGTTGAGGAGAGGGGGTGTCAAGGGGGGTCTATGGAGGGAGCACAGCCAGGGGTTTGAGGGGAGCATCAAAGGGTGAACAAGGTGGATCAAGGAGGCAGTAAGATGCCCTCCAACATGCCTTTGGCTACTTTTTAAACATGCATTCACTCTTTACTAACAAACAAGTGGATGCCTGCTGCGGATACACACGTGGCGCACACCTGCCCCTCCTCCCCCTGCTGGGGATACACACGTGGCGCACACCTGCCCCTCCTCCCCCCCCCTGCCTCCCACCTCCACGACCCACGGGGGCAAGAAAGACCAAAACAGCACGTAGAATCGACGCTGTTGTGCACCTCATGCAGCGCCCTGGGCCCAAGAGGCAAAGAGGTCTCGCATGGGAGCGTCGTGCGAGATCCGTCTTAACTTTGATAAGGACTATAGATTAGAAAATTGCTCTCTTCCGTCCCTCGGAGACATGTTGGAAGGGGGGTTATTGCGGTGCTTTGGATGCCTCTATGTGCATGCTAGACAAGTTGCTGATCAGGCAATGCACATCCACTGACATGTGTTTTCAATCCGATTTTCATGTAACGGAGTCACCTAAAGAGGTAAGAATCCGTAATCACTTGCGAACAGTAGGCAAAGCCAAATCTTATTATGTGTTCCAGTTTTTATGTTATCAAGTCACAAACCCTCCCCCCATTACCCAACTAAGGTGCCATTTCTTTGTGGTGATCTTTTGACTTACTCAGTTTGTGCATTGATTGGCCTTGTTTGCACAGGTTACGAAAGAGGTGGCGGATTGCCTGGATTTCTTGTCCCATTGTTATGGAATATTTGGCTTCACATTTGAGCTCGAGTTGTCTACAGTAAGTCCTATGGATCCTGAGATCAATGTCTTGATTAGCTTCTCTTTCTTATTTGGCGTTATTTTTTGGGCCGGTATTTCAACTATCCATAGTTTTGCAAATGACACTGTTGCAGCATGTACGTCCCTGGTTTCAAGCGAGGCTGAGAGGGGAAGGGGGGCCCACGGCAAGGGAGGGGGAGATAAGGCGGTGGGACGGAGATGGACGGGTGGGAGG